AAGAAGATTAGGGGCGGTGTTTACCAATCTCCCACTCCCTGTGCGGGCCATTGTTAACGAGAGCCCGCACAGGCGAGAGCGCCCTTCCCACGATTTATGAAAGTCTGAAAAGCGCGGCCCAAACGGGCAGCGCCGCCCGACTCGTCGAGATGAGGAACTGCTGCCCGACTGCCGTGCCCGACATGGCCAAACTTGCCAGATCGGACCATATTCTTCAATAGACAGGAGCCCGGTCACCAGCTTGGCTTCATATATCGCGGGCGTCAGTGCCCGCGCCGGTATGGGCTGTTACCTGTAGGGTTACCCCTTCCTATACAGGAGCTTTATAAATACCGCCCTAGGTATTATAATAAAACTAGCTGGCTTACCCGGCTCCGCCCGGCCCTGTCAAAATGCTATGATGTTTTCTCGCCTCGTGTCATAACCGGATATTTCCAATTTTACAGTGCTTGGCGACTTTTTGACCCTCACACAGTAGGACTGAAGCTTCACATGGAGCTAAGGAAAGTTTTGGAGTCTGAGCAGTATTCAATCTGCTCTGTAGAACATTTCCAAATAAGTGCTGCGGAACTTTCCCAAATTGTAGTTCTGCGAAACTCAAGCGCCTGCCTCATTGCGTTTAGCTGTACGTAGTTAAAACCTAGTTATCTTAGCTAAAGCTTATATAACAGCTCTAGGCGCTAAGAAGCTACAAAATCAGTTATGCTCAAAGTGGGTACGCTGTTACACATAATATTTAGTTTATGCTAATACAGAAACAACTACAAGTTGGAGACTAATAGCACGGCAACTGAGCAATTGACATGAAATTATCACTTGAATAAGTGGCGTAATGTGGGTAAATAAGGAAGTAGAGGTAGGCACACCAAAAGTCAACTAGTAAGAGTTGAGATTAAGCGTGACTAAAACGAAAAAAAATGTTATTCGAATTAGTTTCGAAACCATTTTCGAGTTAGTCTTGGTTAGATAATCTTATTCTCTCATGTATCGAAGACTTTTCCAACTAACAAGGGAGATCCGTTTAATTGCCTTCTCACATGAAATCAATACCATTATAATGTCAAATTTTAGTCTTTCCATCCTTGTTTTTCTTCTTATTAGTTGAACTTTCGCTCAAGTGCTTATTCGTTGCTAGGGGTTGATCTGATTTTTTGGCCCTGAGATCCGATTTTCGTTCAGCCTAATGCATATCGATCGATAACTTTGCTTCTCTCGTGCATCCTGCATTGTTGCACTATTTCCATCGACATGCCTCCCCAGCCTACAAGGTCACGCAATACTCAAAAGCCGGCTGATCCTATTCCTCCGCCACAACATGTCATGGATTCTAGTGCATAAAAGTTTCGCAACTCTAGTGCGTCGCAGGTTCTCGCCTCGGAGCACCTCAGATAACTCCGTACCGAATCAATCGTTTAGCTATTCAAAAAGCTCTTGGATCTTAATATCCCTGAGGTGCGAGAAATTACAAATGAGATTCTCGTGAGGTTTGGAAAGTTTGGCGAGACTGCGATCGAAACAGATTGTAGATCGAGAAGCATTGTTATCGCAGGTCTCCCTGAGCTTAGGGAGGATGGGCGCACTGAACCAGCCGCTTCAACGCGCCAAAAGGATACAGAAAAGAAAGTTCGCGAGTATTGGATGTTTTTGATTTGGAATGTCGGTCAGTTAAGATCTTTCGCATGGGCAGAAGAACACTAATATGCCGCGCTTGCTAAAAGTAGAACTGCCATCAAAGAATCATTGGGCCTCCGCTCTTTCCCGAGCCCGACTGCTCAAAGATTCTCCTTGTCATAAGGGGGTCTATATCCGGCGCAGCATGACGGCTCGGGAAAGAGAAAAGGAGCGTGAGTTGCGGGACCAGGCTAGACAGCTGAATCGGAGTCGGAGCTTTGAAGATAGATTTGTTGTCTACATGGGTGAGCTGGTGCTTGCCAGTTCATTGGCTAGCAACAATCCTTCTTCTTCTCAGTTTGCAATAGGCTCACAGCACGTTTCCTCTGCATTGCAGGGAAACTGAGTTGTGGGCAAGGAGATTCTTTGCGATGTGTTCTTTTCAATGCTAGATCCTTAGTAAACAAGCTGCAACTGTTACACCATTTTTTACTAGTAAACTCCCCTATATTCATTTATCACGGACGTGGTTATCTTTGAAAATAAGGGATGCTGAAATAGTTTCTGATCTACTTTACATGGTTTTTCGGTGTGATAGAATTCGTAAGAAGGGAGGAGGAGTTTGCATATTGGTTGCATCAACGCTTTTATGTGAGAGCATTGCAATCGAGAGTAACTGCAGTTGTGAAGTAAAGCTGGTTGATCTATACCAGCCCGGCACTCTCTCCAAACCCGAGTCATATGTATTTACCGTCCTCCCAGCTCCGCCTCTGATTCAGATGATATGCTTATTGACCCCCTCTAAGCTTCTACCCATTGTACTCCGAATATCCTAATCGTCGGTGATTTCAATCTTCCCATGAGATGCTCTGGAGACTCACTACAACATACTAATTCACAAGTTCAGAGATTTCTCGAGTTCTTTCGCGACTTGGACCTCAAGCAATTCGTTACAGTGCCCACCCGCGATGGTGCCATTTTGGACTGGGTGCTATCAAGTACTAACTCAGTACACAAACTATCAGACAAGGCACCGTTTGGCACATCCGATCACAGTACCATCGAATTTTTGTACGAATTCCAAAATCCCAAAATGAACTTATCCCATTTCCTATGTTCAACAAAATTGATTTGGAAGTGAAGAAAGACCTTCACACTTTTGACTGGGAAAGATCTTCGATCGGTATAGTAGCCCCTCTGATGTATACTACAGATTCTGCTGTGTTATGTATAGTCTACTGGCTAAATATACTCCATTTGGTGTACACAGAATTGGCTATCTACGATACCCGCGTCACATTCAGTCGCTTCTGCTCCAGAAAGAACGACTTTTCAGAACTGCTCAGTATAACCGCCCATTATACAGTAAGGTCTGCTCTGATGTGACGTTTCACATCAAGGAATTCCTCGCAAATCACGAGAGACACCTGGCTTCGTCTAATCACTCTAAAAATCTCTGCTTATATCCATCGTATACAGCATCTACAACATCACGGCGCCTCGAAAGACATGCTGGGCAACACCTGCCTAACAAGTCAGTCTAAGGCTTCAGCATCAGCTGAGTTTTTTGCAACAACTTTTTCCACAAGTACCCTAAAATCCGGCATATAAGAACGGACTTATCTGCAGTTTTGGCAGGAAAATCGATGGAAAAACGCCGCAAAAGGTCTCACAGATAAGTCCGCCTAAATCCTCTCGCAGATACGTCCGTCTGTCCTGAGCATGAGCAAGCGCGACCTAGGAGCACAAACGCGCGCGACCGCCCGCGTAGCTTGCCGGTGTAGATTTAAACAAGGCCGCGAAATCGCCTGAAAGGAAGAGCCGAAGTATTCGACAAGCCGTGCAGACTAGTTGCTGACAGTTTCGCCGAGGATTTGTCATCATATACGCTGGATAGGTGAGTTCTTTTCTTAGATATAACATTTCTTGTGTGTTGGAATTGATGACGCGATAGTAAGGTAGGATTTTACCCATTTTCAGGAATATTAGGCAGGGGAGGTTTATGATATAGGCTAATTACAGTACATGCATCTCCTACAAAGCTTTTTTAGAACGCAGATCGTCGCGCATACTCTGTTCCAAGCAGTAAGTGACGAAGTACAAAGACACAAACGGTTCGTAGTTTTGCAAAACGCTACAGAGAAGTTGTTCTGGATATCACATGTTTCAGCGATTGGAATCAAGCCGTGAACTCCCCTAAAAGAGACAGCCAAAGGATTCGACAAGTCGTGCAGTCTAATTGCTGACAGTTTCGTCGCGGATTGGTCATCACATACGCTGGTGGGTTCTTTTCCTATATAAGACAGTGCTTGTACGCATGGAATTTTTCTGTCCGAAAAATCATAATAGGTTTTCTCATTATATCATTGCAATCATCTCATCTTATCATTCATCTTATCGTTTTGGAAGCTACAATGTTTTCAATACATCTCTCGAACCCGTACAGGCTACAATCCTTGAACCTGACTCCTATACTTTTTGCTTCCTCTATTGTTTTATGTTCTGAACGTAGTCTCTGTTGACCCATGCCATACGGCTTTTGTCAAATGCTTTCTTGAACGGAAGAGTGACAGCCTGAGAATGCTCAACCTTAGCAAAGCATTAGGCTTCCTTGTTCTTTTTCTCATCTGTTGTTTCATTAAGCCTGTACATCCAAGACAAAAGACAGTGTAGTCAAATTTGACGCCGCCTGCTTTTTCTTGTAAAAGAGTAAACCTTTCGATGATCAGCACAAATTTATAGGACCCGCGTGATTCCAGTAAGCAATGACCGCTAACTCAGCGAAGTTCGCAATCACGCAGAGCCCTATATTTTCAACATACTCTCACACGCTGTGACTCAAGCTGTTCAGGTATCTCGGATCTCAATGATCTCCCAGAAGGAAGTCCTACACCGCGCTTTTTAAGCTTAACGTGGTGGAATATGCCCTGCAACATGGAACATCGGCTGCCGCTGTTCGCTACGAAGTCTCTGATGGTCTGGTTAGAAGATGGAAGGCCGATAAAGAAAATCTGGAGAATATGCCACTGAGGAGACGCGCCAACCGTCATGGGAAGCCAAAGGTGGAGGAAATAGAGGAAGCTCTCTATGCATGGATTGTGCAGACGCGAGAAGGAAGCCGAGCAGTGCTTGTCAAAGACATTCGCGAGAAGGCATTGCAGCTAGCGCGGGAATCTGGCCACCAGGACTTCAGGGCATCGGCGATGTGGTGCAAAGGCTTTATGAAGAGAAAGAACTTATCTCTGAGGCGAAGAACCAGTGTCGGCCAAGCACTTCCGGAGGATTATGAAAACATCTGCGCGGACTTCAGGAGATTCGTACAAAGGAAATCGCTTCACATCTCCCCCCGCAATCTTGGGAATGTCGATGAAGTCCCAGTGCCCTTCGATATGGTTTATTCAAGGACCGTGGATCAAGTGGGAGCCGATACTGTAAGGATTGACTCAACAGGACACGAAAAATCGAATTTTACCGTTGTCCTCTCTGTGACGGCCGCTGGAGAGAAATTAAGACCGATGATCATATTCAAGAAAAAGAGGATTCCCAAGGATAATTTCCCTCCTGAAGTGGTAGTTAGAGCCAATGATAAAGGCTGGATGAATCACGAACTGATGAGGACATGGCTCCATGAGGTTTGGAACAAACGGAAATGCTATGTCAACGATCCCTCGCAGTCATTACTCATATTAGATTCTGCAAGGTATCGTTTCGTATTTTACCATTTTTGAGCTTATCTTGCTTTTTTAAGGTGCCATCTCACAGAAGACGTCCGAGAGCTTTTCAAGGAGCACTGAAAGATCGCGGTCATTCCAGGCGGAATGACCAAATATCTACAGCCTCTCGACGTCGGCATCAACAAGCCCTTCAAAGAAATCTGAGGGCGGGATGGGAGCGATGGATGGCCGATTCAGCACGAGCAAGGTACACAACAGGCGGCGCCAGGAAAAGGATGACCTACGGAGAGGTAACTGCACTAGTCTACGAGAGTTTCAATGCAATCACTGAAGAAACCATTGCGAACAGTTTCACCAAGGCTCTCGATGACGAATCAATAATAGAAGGCATGGACGAGGATTTCGACGCTTTGATTGTTGCTGATAATAACGATAATGATGGTCGTTCTTTTGGTCAAGTTGTTGCCATGAATGTTTGTTATGATGAACATGGAATGCTACCTGAATAAAGATCTGTTGCTTCGGTTCATTCTGAGACCAAAAAAGGCAGCGCAATTGCGCATCCTTCTTGTTTTCATGTGAAAAAAATAAGGCGGACTTATCCGCGGGACTTGGCGGCGCGCGAGGCGCGCGAGGCTGTCACGAAAGCGGACTCAACTGAGAGCTCTTTTGCGGTCTTATCGGCGAGGCGGTCCTTACTGCGAGGCGATCTTATATGCCGGATTTTAGGGTACTACGGATACTAAAGCATTGGGGGCATCTCTGAACCATACCTGCTCAACACCTGTAATCATGCCTTCTACTGTCGAAAACTTTCTCAAAACTCTATAGCATTCTACACTTGAACCTTTTGACGGCATTCCCCAGATTGACTTCAAACGTTGTGCAAGAGAACTTTTGCTCCCTCTATCACATATCTGCAATATTAGTTTCATTTGTGGTGAAATACCTAACATCTGGAAAGAAGCAATTGTCACTGCTTTCCGGTTCCCAAACCTCAATCTGGGACAGAGTTTAGACCTATAAGCATAAATCCAGTACCATGTAAAGTTCTTGAAAAATTATCCGTGACAAACTCCTTTCTTGGCTGGAAAGGTTCAATTTCATACCGCTGAACAACATGGGTTTGTCAGCGGTGCACCCACAGTAATCCAACTAATAGACTGTAGTCACGAATGGATCAAGGCATATCTTGATAACAAAGAAGTAGATGTTATATGTTTCGATTTGTCGAAAGCTTTTGATCGTATAAGTCATGGTAAGTTGTTGCTCAAGCTTGAGCATTATGGCATTAGAGCACCCTTGCTTGACTGGCTAAAATCGTATCTGCACTCCAGGTATATAACGGTTCGAGTGAGGAGAGACCATTCTGGACGTTTTCCTTGTATAAGCGGGCTTCCGCAGGGCGGTGCTCTTTCACCCTTGCTATTCCTAGTCTATACTGCTGAGTTACCCCAGATTCTAAAAACTCATCCTGACATACATGTTCTCATGTATGCCGACGATATCAAAATTCATTATATACACAGTAGGGATAACCAGAGAACAATCAAAGACGCTCTGCAGTAGGCCATCAATAACATGGCTGAATGGTGCACAAATTGGGACATTTCAGTAAATATAAATAAAAGCTCTGTATTCCATTTTGGTGCTACTGCAAGTGATGAACACTATGAGCATTTCTTTGATGAATAAAACATCTATCAAAGACTTAGGTGTTGTGTTCGATAGCACCCTGAAACCAGACTCGCAAATTTCAAATGTTACTTCTCGTGCATTCTCAATTATGTACACCATCTTTCGTAATATTAGAGTAGCCGATTCAAAAATATCCGAAACTTTATAAAGCATTTGTCAACCCTATCGTAGAATATGCAAGTCAGGTTTGGAGCCCCTTTCTGAGGAAGCACAAGCAGGCCCTGGAGAACGTCCAGAAGGTTTTTACTCGCTTGCTTTTCTACAGATGTTATCCGAATCGTGGTTATCCACGATCGCTTCCAAGCTATGGTAAACGAATGAAAGTCTTAGGTCTCAGAAGCCTTTCACATCGTAGGATCCTGCACGATATAATACTTGCTTTCAGGATTTTTAAAGGCGAGACTAAGCTAAGACCTTCTGAATACTGGGTGTTCAGGCCTAGTCGTGGGAGGACCACCAGGTTTTCTGTTTATTTACATCTAAATGGTGGGCGAAAACAATTCAACTCTTTATCAGAAAACAGTTTTTTCGCACGCACTTCAAAATATCTGTGTTTACCTAAAGAGATCTTGTCTTCTCCAGATAGTCTCACTTTTGAACGAAAGCTTAAGAAGTTAAATTTGACTGATTTTCTCCAAGAAGTTGAATTTGACTGATTTTCTTCCAGAGGACTTTCTTGTCATCGCTCGTATGGTGCTACCGTTTGCCTGCCGAACCCTTCCCACACCCACTGCTACGCGTGTTGCGGGCCTATTCCAATACTATGTAATCAACCAACTCTGTCTATTTCTCACTCATCGCGCCGAAGGTCTTCCAGTGATAACTTTCTCATGTACCAAGTTTGCGACCGGTGGACCTTCACGTCACTCGCTGTTCTGATTTTTACTTCATCCACACGTGGTTCGGGTCCGGTTCATCCCTTTTGTTGTTAATAGGGGATAGCTTGTCTGGCCTGACATTTGTTTGCATCACAATCTTTAATCTCGGAGTTCTGCTCTCTCCCCCGAACTCAGTCGGGCAAATTTTTGATATTACACCTGTTCCCCGCATAGACAATTGCTCAAGTTGAATAATCTTAGAGCACTTTTGCTGCAAGCAGAGGGTATGGGACAGACTCCATCGAGCATCTGCACTGATATTCATACACGGTATACACGGTCTACAGGCTTAACCCCTTTCCATTCACGGAGCTGGACTTGGGCTTTTGAGGATGTTTTGTTATTTTCTTTTTACTGTTCATGCTCTAAGTATTTTCGTTCTTTGTCTCAAATATGGCACGCCTTGTGCGTATTGAATTAATAAATAAATAAATAGAATAAATAAATAGATAAATAGAATAAATAGATAAATAAATAAATAAATAAATAAATAAATAAATAACGAGCATCGAACGCTTATTCCAAATCTGTGTTCGTCATCTGCCGAGCGCCTCTGGACGTCGAGTTATGCGCGTTTTCTGAGTTGAAATACTGAATGCATAATCACAGCAAAATTCGTCAAAATTGCTCAAATAGTCGAATTTTGATTATTAGACTACTCCACTCAAACAATATCTTCTGTTCAATACACTCATACAACAACGGTCTATAGCGCTGAACAGACTATAAAATTTGATTTTTCCTAAAATTATGCGTTCATTTTGCAAAGAAAATATTCATAACTCGGCATGCAGAGGCGTTCGGCAGAACATGAAATCAGATTTGGAATCAACTTTCGATGCTCTTCAAAATGGTATGAGACCCATTTGGAAAGGCCACTTGGACTAATCGGACCTCCCTTGTTAGACACCACTGGCCCAGTTTCTTTCCGTTCCGTAATCCTTATGATAGTTGCACACGAATTCACCAGTTCCACATGATTTCTATGTTTTGCCGGATTGCAAGTTTGAGTTTGAGTTTTTTGCAGCATTTAAATTTTTTAGATTTCAAATGAATTTGAGCACGCAATTTTCGTACGCAGAAGCCTTTCAAGCAAGGTAGTCTAAATATATTATAGGAGATCAATAACAATTGAAACCGGTACTATGGGGATAGTACGTGTAATCTGCAATCAAAGCACAAAAGGGTTCAAGAAAGTTGTTGAGTTATTCGACTGCAGAGCAAAACATGAAATTCAGAAAACTCTTCTACCTTTGTCGAAACCACTAATCTCTTCTTTCATATCCCGCATTCTTGAACAGAGGCATTTTTGGTTGATTTTAGTAGATTACCATTAGAGTATTTGCTCCTGTAATTTTGACGCGCTCTGTGCCTCACTTTGTCTTTTGTTTTTGTCTCTCTGGTTTCAGTAGGAATGAGCGCATGCACTTACAAAAAATGTTCTCAGTCGAAATGGTTTCAAGAAATGATTTCTGTAACGTTTTAAAGAGCTTTAGCGTTGATAATATCTGTTTTTATCACTCACCGAGCTTCTGGACATCGATTCAGAAGCTTTTTTTTTGCTATACAAAGGAAACGCGCAATTGAGACAAAGTGATTCAGTGGCCGTTCATCATCCGTCCTGAAGTAAACCCTACCCCGCAAGTAGTTAACCGCTCAAACTGTACGCATCAATGTATGAGTTGAACTCTCAATGTTATCAAAATCAATATCTTCTATAGATTTACAGTGGATTGAGGTAACTTAAGGTAAATCCTACCTTAACAAGTCACAACAAAGCCGATTTTCCGATTACTAATATATGCCTAGTAGTACCTCCACATAGTTTTTTTGAGGGAGGGGATGCACGGCTTGAGTTTTTTTGAGGGGGATGCACGGCTTGCCGTCACGTATTTAACAAAGGTTACAAGAAGTCATGAACTGTCAACACTGATTTGAAGCGGCTTTGCGCTGAAGACGAGCTGTGCTTACGGTGACTACGTCCTAGAGGGAGTTCAGTTAAAAGTTCAGTAGGAATTTCGTCCGATTGGAGTAAGACTCTGTATGGGTATCCAATGATGTGTCCGATAATGCTGATGGTTCTCCTTGGAACTCTATATTTTTTCTGTTGATTTTAACTTTTTTGTTAGTTTGTTGCAAACCTAGATTAAGTTTTTCTGGGTGCTTTCCTAAAATGCTGGTGGTTTTGGCGGAACCTTGAGGTTTTCTTGAATTTTAATATTTTCACTTGCACTGCAAGTCTGGTAAAGTTGAAAAACAGAAAAAACTGCTGCGCTCAGCAAAATTAGACGAATTCGAGTACGGTCAAATCAAAGGCTACTGCAGGACGAAGGCGCAGAAGCATTTCTAGTGGAGCGGGCGCGAACGCGACGCGCGCTTTTCTTCACCGTTGTAAATCGTGCGCCTCATGCGCTTTCGGCTAAATTTTGCGCCCAAAGATATTGCGCCTTTGTCATGGAACAGCATACATCTTGTTCCAGTAATATTTCAGACCGAAAAACGAATAACCGATTTATCCCAAAATTGACTTCAACATCGAATGGA